AAAAAATCCAAAAGCAACCAAACTAGTTATGATGTGCATAGAAATACCTCAACATAAAATAAATGTCGGGAAACAAGGGTATTTTTGGTCCTTGGCATGTGGCAGTGGGTCTCAGGCAGGGTTGTGGGCTCCAGCCCTGGCTCTTTGAAGATGGAGAAGAGAAAGAATAGAAGATAGTCAACGTGGATGAAAACGCCATTAACTTTCACGTTTAAAATTTGAAGACCCTCGACTGCACTTTGGAAATTATTACTTTTTTGAACAAGATACTTTAGATATTAATAAGCACAGAGCATGGTGCTCAACCAGCTTTAAAAGACAAGACAGCACCGCATGGGTGACTTCTTCGGGGGCAGCCCACAGAAGACAGTCAATTACTAATGTGGTGAAAAGGACAGGAACACCCAGTTCTTTGCAGATTTTAAAAAAATTTATCTTAAAGTTTTTAGTAGAGATCACATTGTCTTTAACAGCCACAGACATCAGAGAAGTTCTGCCCCATTATGTAGTTTTCATATAATTATGACTCTTAAAAAAAATTATACTACCTTAGAAGTGTTTTAATTTGTAACTCAAAAGAAGATCAGCCTATTTTTCTGCATATTTAGTAATAGACTTTATCACCAACTGATGGCTCATTAACAGAAGTTACCTTAAAGGAAAGCAGACCCAGAGTCGGGACGTAAACACCCCATAGGTACCTGCGCACGGTGTTATTTATTTGTTCACAAAACGACCGTGGGACACACCTCGTGGTGTGCATACCTGCGTGTTCTGTATTTGCAGGTGGAGGCTTACATGCCAAATTCTAACCATTCCACATTCACAGAGAAATGAATGAACGTATCACACTTACATTCACACTCACGACCATAAAAGTTTCCTTTATGTTTCACAGAGGAATAAACACATCACCACAGGGAACAGATATTTCTGCCTGAGTTTCAGAGATTTACTTCTTTTTCCTCCAAATCAAAACAAATATCACGTGGTCTGCGAGTGGCGCTCTGGCCCACCCGTGAGGTGGCGGTCACAGCCCCTTGCATAGTGTCCCTTTGCCTCTGGGAACTCGGAAGGAGTAACGCCGCTTGCTGTCAATGTGTCGGATCATTTGCTTCTGACAACTGTCAGATGTTTCAGGAAATACCAGCTCATCTTCACCTGTATATATTGTAAAACAAAGCAATGGCATTCTTTTCACAGTTAAAATCTATTAATCTCTAATTGCTAATGAACTGCAAAAATATCATACTTTTTAAAAGCTAAAAGTGGATGATTATGGCAAATTTAGCAAGAATGCAATCAGAGCATTAACAATCAGAGTTTAATTTTCAGTTTAAGAAATACTTAAAAATAAATCTATTGTGACTCATACCTATAAAATGCCACCATTTCACTGGAAGGAGAAAGTAATTGCTTTGGTGTCTTTCCATTTTGATTTGTCCTCACATTTCTATGCTAACCTTTTCCCTCCTACCAGACTTTTGTAGATTAAGGGTATTAAAATACTTAGTTATGGTGCAGGGTAATTACTCATGAAAAGCAAGTCTTTCCACAGATGAAAATAATTGCCATTATTTTAACACAGCAAAGCATTTCTGAGGTGCACTGCAGGAAAGGGGGTGGCAGGAGGGTGAAGGCAGAGAGTTCATGGTCCCCACACTGCCCCTGCTAGAGGGAGGGATCAGTCTCTCTTGCTCCCTCTTCTCATGTTGCGGGAAGATGCAACTCTTTGCA